GATGGCATATTAAAAGATGATAGTGACATAAATCAACAAAAATTAAATGATGAATCAAATCAGGATTTGGTAATAATAGTCTCTCACAGTTTCACTAATAATTTTCATAAAATATAAAATGTTGAATTATTTAAATTATCTATTTTAGATTCTAATAAAAATAAGGGATTTTGCTTTTCCAATAGAAGATCTAAGACATTGGGGACAAAATCTGATTACATCATCAGATGATGATAGTAGTGGTGGTGATGATGATTATTTCATTTATAACAATAATGATGATGATTATATTATAGATGATGATAACAATATTAATAATATTTATTCTAATAGTTATAATAGTAATAGTAATAATAGTAGTAATAATAAAAATCACACCAATAAAAAAGATGATGGCAAATATAAAAATAAGAAAGCTCGTGCATTATATGATTTCCTGGCAGAGAATACATCAGAATTGAGTTTTCAAGAAGGTGATATATTAACAATAAATTATCAACAATGTGTTGGGTGGTTAGTAGCTGAGCTTGATGGTAAAGTTGGTTTAATACCTGAGAATTATGTTGCTATATCATCATCATCTGATGGTGATGATGGTTATTTAGATGATGATGAAAAAAAATATGAATATGAATATAATAATTGGATTAATAATCAGGATAAATAATTTTTTAATATTTAATTTAATATTTGATAGTAATAATAATAATAGTACTATTTATTTATTTATTTATAGATATTTAATAATAATAATGATAATCATAATAATTATTATTTTTAAAAAAATAGTAATATACATAATATAGCATTAGATATCTAATCATGGTAATATTCGAGTGCTTTATTTATAAGCAAGGACTTAAAAGATAGCACTCATTTTACAAACAAATTAATTAGGAATTTAAGAGTTTAGGAATTTAAGATTTTTTGGTTCAATTAATCATCATCTTTAATACTTCTACATTCAATTTTTATAGATATTTTCTTTTGCCTTTTCATTACCTTAGGTCACTGATAATTTACATTTCCCAATTGATTCAGAGAATTTAAACTAAACTAAATAAATTTGGAATGAACAGCTTATTATTTCTTTCCTTGTAAATAATATTTGTCACCCTAAATGTAGCTGAAAATAAATGAATGACAGTTATCATCTTGATTTTATTTATATCTCCCTTGCTCACTATTTTTGATACATTAAACTTGTAATTACAAGTACTGTTTTACAACTTACTAGCTGATTTCAGACCTTGATAAATTTTGGTGAAATTTTTAACACTTTAATTATATTTAAAAATGAATAGTCATATTTTCATAATGTACCCTCCATAAACGCATGCGATGTCTTTGTCCCGGCCTCGGGCTTAGAGCTAAATGCACACCCTCTATGTTCTTCACTGCACGGTGTTTTTTCAATCCACTCCTCCCCTCCATAAATGCACCACACGTGACTTTTGTGTAATCAGAGAAAGAATACAACTCAATCAAATCAGTGCAACATACTTTGTAACAATTTAGAAAAGATTGGCAATATTCTGGTAATATTTAGAAAGAATTGGCAACGATACTATCTGGAAATTTTCGAAAGGAAAATTTTCGTTTCACAAAATTGA